CAGAAGAGAAGAAAGTCTGTAAATCGTTCTATCTTCTCGCCGCAACACGGCAGCAAGGATCCCAGCGTGTCGGAGCTGTTCGACTTCGATCTGACCGACGATATGGTGAACGATGACGGCTTCAACTTACCGCGCGACGAAGAGCGAGGAGCGGCGCCGCTTTCGTTCTCTTTCAACAACGATCTTTGGTTCAAGGAGGACTCGAAGGAGGACAGTGCGCGAGAGACGCTACATCTGGTAGAGAAGCTGCGTATGGAATTATCGAAGAAGTCGAATTCTAGTCAGTTCGAGTTAGAATCTACTCCGGCGGAAGAGGAGCTTCCGAAAAAAGAGGAGCCGTCTCTTCATCCAGTTGAGAAACCAACGGAAGAGCAGCCGCTGCTTCAGGAGAAGGTCGACATGCAGGAACAGCAACCAGTGGGACATCAGCAGCAATCAGTCGTGCAATCGGTCGAGATTAAGATCAACAGCGGTTCGGAACCCCCACAGATGTCCGAGGATCTCACATGCAAAAATCATAGTATGGAGGACAAGAGGAAGCCTTGTTACTCGAGCAATAGCAACAACGAGCATTACATGTACGGAAACGAAGAGCGCGAGACGGCGAAAGTGACGGTGGTGGAGCGCGCGAAGCTCGATAGAGCCGAGGCGGACGAGAGATGGGTACCGCCGAGCATGGACAATTTTAATCCGAGCGACGTGCAACATCTGAACACGCTGATCGACAACCAGAACCACCGTTACGTCGCCGCGGCCGCCGCTCATCAATTCTCGAATGATATCGGCGCCGTGATTCCAGATCCTACGGCGAATCCAGACGCAGCTCTAGTCGCGCACCTCCAGCTCAACATGCAGGACCAGTATCTGCAGCTGCAACAGACGCATCCGATGGAGCGGGTGCAGCAGCATCTCGAGGCGCAGCACGCCGCGGCACAGGAGCAGTCGCGTGTGCAGTCACTCGCGATGATGGATCAGCAGATGGCAGCGGCCGGTACGGGAATACCGGCACAGATTGTCGACGAGATCACGCCTATGGAGATGGTAAATCGTCATCTAATCAGCCTGCCCAACTCGGAGGACGATCAGGGCAGCGAGATGGACCGCGTGCTGGACAAGGAGGATGTCTCGTCGGATATCAGACAGGACTACACGCAGAGCGGCTCGCCCTACAACGAGCTCAATGGTCGACCGGACACGCGGTGGGCCGAGAGTCAGGTTTTACCCTCGCGCCGGTCTACGTCGTCGTCCATCACATCCGCGTCTTCCGCGGAGGAGCACGCGGCTATTCCCCCTTACAAGAACGTACCTCCGATATCTTATCCGCCGATGGACGTGGCGCCTTACCATTCATACTCAGAGACGAGCTCTTACGGCGCCGGAGCTGTCTCGCTGTTTCCACCGCAATCCTGTGCTGCCCCGTTGCCCTATCCGTCACCGTTCCCACCGCCCTTCGGCGCTCCTTTCCCGACGTCGCAGTCTATGCTGCCGCATGTACCGAAGCCGCTCGAGGAGTCACTCAACATCGGGGCGTCGCCGTGCACCGCCGCGTTTACCTCATCGTCGCATAACATGGCTCTCACCGCGGCCATGGTATCGCCGACGAAGGTAACTACGCCGCCGCCTCCGGCGCCGCCACCACCATCGGTGTCGCAGCAGCAACAACCACCGCAGCAGCAACAGCAGCAGGTACCACCGACACAGCCGTCTTCGGAAGCGCCGCCATCGTCAGGGCACCCGCCGTCTTTGCTGTCGCAACCGGTTAACTCGCCTGCTGTACCGGCATCTTTCCTCAATACTATCGCGGAGACGCAGGTCAACAACGAGGCTGTTGTGGAGAACATAGCGGAAGTACTTAGCGCAGATAACAAGATCGCGCCGTCCGGTAAGAAGTCGCCGTCGAAACCGACGAGAACGTCCGCCAGGGTGACGTCCTTGCAGGGTAAATCGCCTGGTAAATCGCCGCGCCAGGAAACCACGAAATCCGCGCCGAGCTCTCGCGGTCGCAGCAGGAGTTCCAAGGGATCTCAGCCGAGTTACCGGGGTCGCGGTCGCGGCCGGGGACGGGGACGCGGTAGGACCAACCAGAACCCGTCGATTACGATGGTGCCGATGTCAAACGCGCTGCACAACGACGACTCGATTCAGAACAAGCTTGTCGGCACCGTGTACGACTTCGACTCGGACGACGACTCGGCGAACGAGACTAACATCGCGGACCTGAGGACGATGCGCGAACGCAAGAAGTCCACCGACGTGAACGAGAAGAATCGCGCGAGCGAGCCTCTCGGCGGCATGGCGAACGACGGTGGCATCCAGTCCCATCTGTCTAGTCCCACGCTGCACACCGTGAAGAAGTATGCCGACGATAAGAAGCTCGCGTCACCGGCGGCGCACCACGATCATCAGACCGCTATAGCGAAATCCGAGTCGAGCACCAGTCACCAGTTTGCCGACTGCATGCCGCTGTTACCAGGTCCGGTGGATATGCGTACGTACAATTCGACCGTGGACCAGGCGAGCTCGTTAGTCCACGGTCAGCCGTATGGCAATCATTTGTTAGGCAGCTTCGCCGCGAGCGTAGGTGCGGACTCGAACCTGCCGGAGCTCGATGATTTGCTGCACGGGGACTGCTGCGTGTTGAAGAAGACCGCCGGTAAACAGCAACAGCTCGCGAGCAGCGGGTTCGAGGAGCCGTGCTCGAAACCAGGCTTCGGCGACCAGTCGACGATAGACCCGTCGTCCGCGTCTAGCTTCGACGCCAACAAGGTTTCCCTAACCGATTCGAGGAATCAACTGAAGGTAAAGATCAAAGGCCCATTTCTTGACGCGAACTATACGCCATCGGTACCACCGCTGGTCCAGCAAACGCCGGTGATAATTCCTCCGGC